TATATATATATATTCGGTATATAATATTTAGAAATAACAATACTGATAAATATATCGTAAAACGAATACAATGCAGGAAATAATAATATTAAATTGTATAAACACACCAATATTTTGAGAACATTAACGGCATTAGGACCACTTTATGCTGCTATGCTGCATTCTATTTTCATGAATGTGTATTTTTATGCGATTGTTATCGGCCTATTTAAATCAAAGTTTTATGACCCATAAATCGTTTTTAAGTCACTATATAAATAATATTACTCTTTATTGAATTAATTAAAGTGATTTAGATAGAAAAATTATAGAATGTATATAGGCCTATAGAAAATGATTTTGAGAACATTAACGGCATTAAGACCATGACTTTATATAGCCCGATATAGCTATGTTATAATAGGCCTACTGTATTTAAATTAAAACGCATTTTATGACCCTTGGATCGTTTTTAAGTCACTATATAAATAATATTACACTTTAATAAATAAATTAAAATTATTTCACAGCCCACTTTTAAAGAGTACTTTAAAATTGATGAATGTAGATTGCAAAAACATGTGCCTGACTATACGGTATGCCATTTTTTAGCTCTGTTTTTTACTGTTGTTACATTTTCACTCAGATATTCCGGTTTAATGCCATTGGAAAAGGACTCAAAAGAATTTTAGAGCACAGTGATCCAGTCTGAAAATGTAGGCCTGAACAACAACACAACAATGGATATCGCAATTAAATCAAACACCATGAAGGCATACAGACTTGTACAACTACATTATGGTCTCTCTACTTACCTATATGTATATTTTCTTACTTAGAATTCCAAAATTCAATATTTCAGAAGATGTTTTTGCGACGACGGTGTCTACAACACACTTCAGTAGTTCACATACACGCTTGCTTCAACCGTAATTTGGATATTATGAGACAGGTGCACAACCAACCAGGTATCTGAAGGAAAATTGCTGCCAAGGACAGTAGTGCCCTACCAGGCTAAACCTACAAATTACTAGTTTACCCCCTTATTAGCGTCCACACTCGAATTGGTCTAGCACTGGGGCCGAAACGGTATCTGACCAGTTTGCCGAAACCCATGATTGCCGAATTAATGGCCTCTTTGTCGAATCCAGTTTTGCCAAAATCATGACTGAGTTTGCTGAAACCCAGCTTGCCGAATCATTTGCCGTCAAAATCGTACAAAAGTAGAGCATACTGTGCTTTTGAAAACATGATGGGTGGATCAGGGAGGAGCCATATTTACATTCCTATATTTTTACCCGTGTAAACGCTCCGCTTTGAATAAACACCCCTTCTAGAGCCTCATTTGGAATAAACGCCTCTTTCGAAAACACCCATGGCGTATATTTTTCCTTGAATGAACTCCCCATCGACTGTAAACAGATCTAATGGAAACATCATTCCCAACACTCTTTAGAATTACATTTTAATTACAGTGGAATTAATGGGCGTTTGAGTATATACGGTACAGTTCGTATCCATTTTACACACAAAAAAACAAACAAATGCCGAATAAACACCTCCCTTGAATAAACTCCCCCTCAAAAACCATTCTCAACAATAAACGCCTCAGGGCGTTTAATCAACGTAATCGGTAATCGTCAGGGACCAAAAATGATAACTTGCCTATCCATATAACGTTATTTTGATTGTCAATTTCTAATATTGTGGTATAAATAAAACCCCAAAAAACTCCCAACGCCAACACACCGGGTTTTTGTTTATGGCGGAACCCTGACAGAGGCTCTAGTCAGCCCCTTGATTCGGGTGTACAATTGTAGATTATTATTTATTTATTTATTTCATTTAGGTATACATATTTACATATTATTATGTTAATTAAACCTTATAGGCCTACACTTATTAAAAAATATGCTTATAAGACATTTTATCTGACGGGCCTGTTTAATTAATTTTTTTTTTGATGATAGCTAAATTGTTAATCAAGTTTGATTTACAGAGACAAAACTAATCATTAAACTACAATAAGCAGTTATTTATTATACGAATAAACAGAGATCGCATCGCACTTCGCATAAAAAAGGCTTCTAAATTCTCAATTTCGCAATTCTGGAATGTGCCTCTTTAACAATAGGCATGTAGGCCTAATAGATAGTTTCTTTTTTTCCCGATAAATCATGTAATTTCTTTCATCTTTGAGAGTGGAAAAGAACAATATCCAATTATGGATGAATAAGTAGGTATCTATGTCTATGCCCTTACGTTCCGCTGGCTCCACTAGTTCGTACAACGTTTCACTGCTTTTCATAGTGTGTATATTTATAGCATTACCACACACACACCTGTCTCTTATACACATCTAGATGTGTATAACATATATATATACATATATATATATATATTAATGCTTTCATTAATGCAATTAATTTGTTAATCCTTTATTATGTATTATTTATATTTGACGCGATTTCAAAATTAGGTACCATTGCCTCTAAAGCCTTTTGATTGACTTGCACTAATTGTTATGTTACCATAACACAAATTTATTATTTTTATGTCTATAAGTTACTACTTCCTAATATTTATTATTATGACTTTATTTTAAAAGTTTGTTCTGTATTAATATTAGATTTACATCAGACAAGCATTTTTATATTCTATCGTTTAGCTGTTTATACATTGTTTAACTTAGCTTAGTATATGTCTAAAGCATAAAAAACCAAATAGACTCATAGAGTATTAATGAACATAATAGAAATCTGTGTAACTTCTGTACATTAGGTTTAGGTATGATACTTGGTGTTTTCAATTCCATGATGGATTTTTATATGTTTATGAACATATCATAAATAAATCAATGATTCGTTGGAAGTGTAATGTTCTGAGCGTTTATAAATTTCTCGACTTGAAGTATAATACCAGACAGATTGGATATCATTTCATTTAAATTTTATTACTTCTAAGTACAAATAAAGCATGGAACAACGATGTCCAGGGACTGCTTTAGAAGCAGACTTTCTTTATAAAATCATGTACAGTACATATAAGTGTATGGTCAAGGCTATGTTGCACAGCCCTTAGTCTGAGACCCTATTCTACACTATGTTGCTCAACAGGGTCACAAAAAGATGATATCAAAAGATGAAACCCACAAGAGAATAAGGTCAGTGAGGATGTTGTTGAACCAGTGGCGTAGCACCTTATGAGCTATCACTCATAAAGCCAAGGAGCCCCAAACATGCCATGTGGGACCATGCATGCATACAAATACATCAAAATGCGCCATCCAAAACTGTGAAAGGGATGGGATGGGGAACAACAACTGACTAAGCTCCAACGTGTTCAGAATTCAGCTGCTCGCATGTTAATACGGACCAGAAAATTTGATCACATTTCACCAATATTGAAACAGCTTCACTGGTTACCAATTCACCAACAAATTCAATTCAAATTGCTGCTGCTCACCTGGAAATAATTAAACGAAATGTCACCTACATATATACGCGAACTATTATCTATGCATGTCTCCAAACGCACTTTAAGATCAGCGGACAAACACCTATTAACCGCGGACCTATTAATAGGTCCATATATTAACTGTACCTAGGATTGCATCTTCATAAGGTGATCGCGCATTCTACGCAGCAGCACCCAGGCTCTGGAATGCATTACCAATTGAACTCCGCAGATGCAGTTCGCTTGATGTTTTTAAACGACTCTTAAAACACATTTATTTCAAGTTGCTTTTAATCACTGTTTTTATCATTGTACTTTTATAATGTTGTTTTTTTATTTTCCATGTTTAGTATGTTTATGTGCGCCTCGGAATAGGTTTACCTTGATAGATGGCGCATTATAAATGCATTATTATTATTTATTATTATGGGGGGGGGGGGCTCCACTCCATTACCCTCTGGAACAATTGTGGCCATTAACCCCTGGGTAGTAGTGCCCGAAAAGGCCTTGGCATGTTACGCAACCATGATAGACTTGGAAAGTGAAGCCCGGGGATATTCTGCTTTTGTTGCCATGTCAACAACAAATTAACCCATGAAACAACAAGTGCCAATCCTCCGCTACACTAGGTATTAAATTTGTTTAAAAATAAATTTCCTATGTTATTAACATCAAATAGTTATTAACGAAGACCTGCTCGCACTATTGCTGACAAGCGCTCACAGATAACAGAGATGGATTCGTTGTACAACTGTCCACCGATGCAGTGTGTGCCCGGCTTTAGACTCAACAATGTTCAGAAAGGCACTATTTGTTTGATCAAATATGTCTGATATAAGGCACAAATTATCAGTCTGATCAAACAAAAATCTGAAAGCATATACTCAGCTCTGAAAATCACATGATGTCCAAATAATCAAATGGAGAAAAAAAAACTAGTCTGGAATGAATTAACACGGCTTCAATCAAAACATGATAATACACAGTGGAACTATCTCTACATAAAATAATGCATAAATGAAAATACACTCTTATACAAACAATTATGCTATCAACATTACAGATAAATTAATATATTCAATAAATTGCACAAAATAACAAATCTCTTAGAAAAAGACATCTTAATATCTATTTTCTCATACTGTGTTTCCTCTTTTCTAAACCCAACATACACATACCAAATAAAATTCTAATCTATCCCTGCCCCTCCAAATATTTATCAGATAAATAAAATAATAATATACTTCTATATTAAGTCAATAATCAAATATAATATTTTTTTAAATATTGTTTATTATAATAATTATTTTGCATATCTACACTCTCGCACAACTTAAAGTGCAGTAAAATGTAGAAAAATCATAAAAAATTAAAAGTAAAATATTGGATTGCTCATTAAAAAAGATACAATATATATATATCAACGTCTAATGAGACACAGATCAAAATAATTCAGTTGTTGATAATTTACAGTACATTTGTTTTTCTATCGTATAATTAACACTGATAATAATAAGACAATATTTGCATAATCATATAAAAAATAAATGTACATGATGAAATGACACTATCCATCATACACATTTCCATAAAGAAACTTACTATTAACAAAGTTGCAATGGACAATATAGTTATTTAAAAAAAATTAAGTTACATAATAATATAATTTTCATTCATTGTACAATTACTTTCTACAGTATTTCTTTTTTCCTAATCAAGAACTTACAAAAGTGGGAATGACCAAGTAGAGTATACAACACCATGCCAGTACATGTATTTTTTATTTTACAAAGAGCAATAGACACACAAAAAAGTAAATCTACAGTATACTTAATTATAGCAAAATTTTTAATTTACATGTACCCCAACCACACATCAATTCAGGTAAAATATTTACCTGAATATTGTGTTTGTTTCGGTTGCCAACGTTTTCTTCCATTTGCTCAGCAGTGGAATCTAGATTGGGAATGTTCCTCATTTTTTTAGTGTGAAAATTGCATTACAAAGATATCAAAATGGCAAAGTGCAAATTTGGGCCGCCATTAATACTGACATCATTCGCACTCAAGCACCAAGGAGGCATCAGACGACCTCACGATGTCACTGCTTATATGAATTTCAATTAAAAAAATAACCTGCTAGACAAAAAATATTTCCCTGATGATGTTCTTCAGGAATCTGCTGTCTCTTTAATAAATTCAGACAATCTGTAAGAATAAAACCAAAATAATTTAACCAAAAAACACTTTACAATGATGTTGCCTACTCAATTCCAAAACATTGCAACTAGGGAATTCTGTGTATTTGCCTAAATCAGATATTTTGATATTGTTTGTTTCAAATACAATGCATAATAGCTGTAGAATTGTGCTATAGAGTACCACAGTTGTGTGGTACAGACGTTGGTTACCGTTCATTACGCCTGAATGACTTCATAGGCTTTCTGGAATACTAGGCATTTTAAATTTCTAATATTTTACCATCAAAATGTACTAAAAACACAAAAGCTCGCATTATACTAGTTATCAAACACACATTTAATCATCAATTAAAATTTACAAAGAAAAAGTAAGATACAACATCTTAATAATTACGTTAAAAATTGGGATCAATGGTTTGTCAGTGGGGAAAATGGAGCCCGGTTGAACGCCTTTTGCAACGATAGCAACGGAGTAGTATCACACGGTATTGTGACGTAACACTGTAGTACTCTATACTCTTTTGCCACTGTTGGTCATTATAAATATTTTTACTATTTTAATTTCATTATATTTTTTTATTATTTCAGAGAAAGTTCTATTAAAGTAAAATTCACTCTCAAAACAATGTTGATAGTAATACTATTATTATAAGGCCATATTAGTGTTTGTCTCAAAGCTCTCCTGTTTCCAAAAACCTAATGAGGAATGCATGTTTTTAAAAATATGTTTTAATAAAAATATTTTTATTGTTGAACTTGGTTTAAGGGCTATTACATGGCTCTCATCACTTCAGAATTATTATGTGTCAACACAAAACATGTGGCTATTAAAGGAGGTTACAATTTGAGCAAAATATATATTTTTTGAAGAAAAATTTCTTTTTGAAAAAAAAAATGTTTTTTACTTTTTTAAGGAAGAACAACGCGCATGAATTTACTAACACACGCGGGAGTTTGGAGACAAACATTAAATTAATATGGCCTAATAAATACAATTTGTTTCCTTTGATGGCAATAATTTAATAACAAAACAAACACATAATATAAAAAAAATGTTTTAATAAAAATATTTTTATTGTTGAACTGGGTTTAAGGGCCGTAACATGGCTCCTTTCACTTCAGAATTATGGTGTCAACACACATGTGGATATTAACGGAGGTTACAATTTGAGCGAGATATATATTTTTTGAAGAAAAAAAAAAAGTTTTCTACTTTTTTAGGAAAGAACAATGCGCATGAATTTCCTAACGCATGCGGGAGTTTGACACAAACAATTAATATAATATTAATTATAATAATACAATTAGTTTCCTTTGATGGCAATAATTTAATAATGAAACAAACATATTTATAAAAAAAATTACTTATAAATCACTTTTACCTTATTTTGCTAGCTACTATCCCCCTCACTTAATCATTGAGATCTCCCAATGAAATCCCATTCCCCCTCCCTCAATAATGCAGTGCCTCCATTTCAAGACATGCCACTGGAAGAAACATACATGTATTATTCTAAATCTTAAGTTTATTATTACTAAAGTACCTTTTTTCTTTCATTCATCTTCAGCTTCAACAGTTGTTTCTTTATTGTATGACAGTCCATAATTAGATTCTAATTTCCTATGTTTTGTCTGTTCCTTTACAGCAGCCTCTCCATTCTGTGCAAAAATAAAAAGCATAGGCATAATATTCATAGTTAAAAGCAGAATGATGAAGACCTATGAAGAAATTATTATAGTTTTATATGATACAATAATAAGCAATTATAGTCAGGTTTAAGTACATTATAGGAAATAGACCCGAAGGAGCCATTATTTCCTGAAAACATTGCCAGATACCCACAGGGCTGACTGCAATTTTTGAAGGAAATAATGGTTCCTAAAGCCTCTATTTCCTATAGTGTATGAACTTACTTGACTATAATTGCTTTATAAATCAGTTGTGACATCCATCACCTTTTCTATGGCCTTTTATAATCAAACTGCTGGTTGCTGTAAGAGGTTACTGTAGGCTCTATATCATAAATCCTTCAAGGTGCTGGTTGCTTAGTGATTGAATAATTTCTTATTAGTATCAAGTAGTACGAACACTGACAGTCTACACACAGCTCTTTGTGATACTTGGTGATACGATTGATTGTGGTTAATGAAGTTTATTAGGGTTTATTAGGTAGGCCTAACATCCTGGTAGACAATTGTATTCTAAACATTATTATGAATTATTTCAGCGTTGATTGAATTTCATCAGTTATACGTCAATCACCTTGTTGTCTCATAACCATTGTGCCTTTCTATGCCATGCCTAGGATGGTCTAGGCTTCACAACAAGCACTATAGAGCGAGATTTGTTAGGTTTGCTGTGTGCATTCATAGCTTGGCCTAGCTACGGAATATTCCATCGAGTTGTACTGTAGTAAAATAACCCAGATTTGAGCTTTTTGTACACAAGACACAAAAAAAATTGGGGCTTATGTCGATTAGTATCAGTCAAGAACAGGAATATTCGGTGAAAATAAGTGATGATATCATGACTGACTTATAAATGGCAATTATTAAACAAAGGTTGGATTAGTGCAATAAAATTACTCAAGGGCATGCTGGGCCTGAAGGCAATATTTGAATGCATTATTCTAACCTAGTTTATTAAAACTTTCAATGTAGCTAAGGTAGTTGTAAGCACCTCGGTAATAATAATAATAACGGTAGACTTTATATACAGCTTATTATAAAACACATATGGAACCTCCCCTGGATGTAACACTGGGATGGGACGTTTTCTTACCAATAAACCAAATATCATATTTTTGAAGTATGTGCTCTCCTCTTCTGACAGTACCGTCATCCCGTCATCACCCTCTTCATCCTCCTCGTCATTTGTCAGCATCTCCTCTCGTGGGTCAAAACTTAGGATTTTTATTTCAACATTACCTGTGGTGAATATATTAAAACATTTAAAATACATATCTGTTGGTGATTTGTTTACTCTTCTTTGACATTAAAGAACTAGAATAAAGGGTTAAAGCTGGTGCAAGGAACTGGGATATGGGAAGACTAGGATAAGAGAGGAAAACTCATAAAAGACAGAACTATGATGAGGGAGAGAGACTTGGAAATGGAAAAGCTAATATACTGAGACAAAGAATAGGGCATATTAAACTTGGGAATTAGAAATATTAAGATAATAAGAAAAAAACTAGGTTAATGGAGGAATACTAGAAAATAGAGAATCATAAACAAACTACAAAAGGGAAGAACATGTGAAAATATTGGTAGAATAGGGATAAGAGGAATAGGACTAGCAGGATGAAGATTATAAGAGGGAAGACTAGGATAAGGATAAGGAAATGAAGAAAAGGGGAATGGAGGATGACAAGGAAGGATGGCAGATTATTGAATGTTTCAAATTGTTCTATCCACCTCTTGTATATGTAAGGAACTATTTTTACAAATTCATGGATAGAATGAAGTGATAGTTATTTGCTGTACCTTGTCAAAGGTTTATCTTTCATTCCACAGTAAAGTGGAAAATGTTTATACTGTAAAAGCTATTTTTAGCTGCCTTAACAAGGATCTGAATTTAACAAGGAAAAGCATGTAAAGCAAGCAGAGATGACGTAGAACAGCTTTAATATACGTAAAAGATTGAAATAGCAAATTAAGAGTTGAAAATAGAACTAATTCCAGCAACGACATAGATTGATTAGAAATTAGTTATAGGGTTCAAATAAAGGTAAAGGGATGGCAAACAAACTAATATTCTAAAATATATCAGAATTTTTTAGCAGATTCATCATCGTAGTCATTAATTTAATAAATCGTAATAAGACTACATTATTCTGTCCATCTTCTGCATCAGAATTTGGTCTTTGAGGATTAACTTTATATTATTTGTGGTGGACCTCTGTCATATTAATAACTATTTAACAATGTTTTTCTTTGAGCTCTGACCTTCAGTGACACCATGAACTGCAGTGACCTCATGATAAAGCTATAGACTTGATTAGTTTAGTAAGATATTAGCTTTAATTAATCTAAATGAAAATTTTCCTTGGTAATTAATAGATGTATAAATAATACCTTTTCTTTATTTTTTGTATTGGCTGGTAATCAATTTAAGGATTATTGTAGTAATAGGTTCGTAATTTTTATTGTATCTTGTAAATCACTGCAAAGTTATATGCTTCTTTGATCTCTATATCATAGAAAGTTAACTACATTTTATTGATCTTTAAAAACCACATTCATTCACTGTGTTTTTTACTAATTTGTACTAATTTTCTTTGTTATAAATGATTTACAACATTTTAACTTGTTTGTAATTTTGTATTTTACGCCAATAACAAATTGAATTTCTATATTCTGCGTCTTGCATTATAAACTAAGCTATTTAATGTTTAAGTATATTATTATTACTTACATGACAGCCGGTAGTGTATCTTTAATCGGTTTATTGACAGCACGCAAGGTAAAACAATAGAGTGCTTAGTAATTTTTTGTACTATATTTGTTTATGAGTGTAGTAGCTAGTCCTAATGATGACATATTAGTGTAGGGTAATGGCAGTGCGTCACATGAGTAAATACAATGGAAGAGAATCATGCTATTTATTTAATTTCTCCGAGTTTACATCTAATGGAGAGAATAAATGTTTAGAGAAAGTAATTAGGTGTGACAGATTTAAACTGTTTTTTTCGCCAACAATGTTTTGTTAGTAAACAACATTTGATTATGGATGATCAGGTGACTCATGAAGCTTACAGGGATTTCAGAAGGCATGGCAGGAAATGTGATTTTGGAATATAAGAACAGAAATGTTTACTTTCAAATGCTAACTATTCCATTTTGAATCAGAATCAGAAGTATTGTTATCATACTGTTTATACTAGTATCTAATAATAGCAATTATAGTACATTTAAAGTTTATGATAAATTTAGTCTTTAACATACAAGATACAAGATCGATTTATTGCCATACAGATATGATAGTATTGGAAGGAGTTAACGAATCATATTTGTTTTAAAGAGATTCTTAGGTGTCAAGACCATAAAAATTTGTATTTAGAATGGAGTGGGTGATTGATGTTCTTTATAACTGCTTTTTAAAATTTTCAGTATTATACTGCATCAGATTTCTGGCAAGAATGCTCTTTATCATCATAAAGTACTGTTCATGCAAGGCCTGATTTCCATAAAATCATTTAGTCATGTGATCAAAAACTTTTTCTCGGACATTATAATTTCCTTAGACAGCTGGTTTAAATGCGAAACATACGTGAGAATAGGCCTAGATGCTTGGTTATAGATACCCAGATTTACACGAGCAGTGCGCATCCATCAGTGACTTGGCCTTTGCCAACAACAAGGTTGACTGAATGCGGCTTTCCCCTCTTCCTTTAGGAGCGAAATACAGAGGCTTTTACAACAATTTCCCCGCCATGTTCCATGAAATAGATTAACACTATCAATATATGATTCATTTACAAACCGCCTACCATGAATTCTCTTTCTTAAAGAAGGTTAATAGCAAAGAAAATCTTCGCCAACTCGGTAAGTCTAGCAGCCATTGTCTAAGGTTTTTGTGACTTTGTGGGCGGGGCTTTCGCATCCTAGTCGACGTGTCAATTGGGAACACTCCCTAATTCAACTGACCAATCAGCGTCGCCAAAGGAGTCAGCGATAACGTGTAGCGATTTTTAAGGAAACCAGGCTTCAATAATATAGCCTCCGCTACCAATCCACTAACATTCTACTCATATTACTCATACATTGATCATACCATCAGTTGATACGCCCTCATTTTCAAGTTGTTCTCGAACAGCATCCTCTATTTTGCGGTATTTACTATCATACACCTCAGTCTGTGATTCTACTTGCGTTGTCTTTCCCACTTTAATCTTGGTAACCTTCACTTTCACTTGGTCGTTGGGCAGTATGGAGGTAACGGTCTCCGGTTGCTCTAGAATGTAAAACAAATTAGTTTGCATTTAATTTGATATTCCCACATTTATTCCCTATACTTATAATTTTTTGAAATGTTTCTTTTATCACTGAAATAATAGTGTAGACAAATATAATATATGCTGTGCCCTAATTTTCCCTAAAATGAACAAGTTAGCTGCAGGTTTTAGTAAGCCTGGATATTTTTTTTTTTTAATTACCAAGCATTGCCCTTTTCCTGCCTAACTCTCATATAAGTGTTTATTATTTTTTTTAAATTGCCAAGCATTGCCCCTTCCTGTCTAACTCTCATATAAGTGTTTATTATTTTTTTTAAATTGCCAAGCATTGCCCCTTCCTGTCTAACTCTCATAGGGTTAATTGAGAAGTTGAGTGATTATCAGACTCTAGTTGAAACCCAACAATGGTCAGATTTGAATAGGGGGTCTTCAGCACAAGAAGCAGGAACAACAGCTCTTGGCTAACTGCTCAGTCTTTAAGTGCTGTAGAAATTAAGCTAGGCCTAGCTAGTTTGCAATTTTCCACAATAATACAAGGCTACAAATGAAGATAGGTTGGCTAGCCCAAAGCATATTTGGTAGATTTTGTAGCTGGGCTAAAATCAAATCATATGTCTGGAAACATATGACCCTTAGCCTTGTGGGTAGGAAAGCTCTATGATTCTGAAAGCATCTATTAATATCATATTGAACATTGAAAATATATGCTTCAACAGACTAGTGCTTTTATTCTTAGTTCATGAGTTACTTTTAATTGGATTGATGGTCACTTTAACGTTTATTCTTATTGAGTTTTGGCTTTGTGGAATTGTGGATTTTTGTTTCATGTTTGGTACTTGCATTTCTTTGATGGTTTTACATTTTTATTAATTAATTGGTCCCTGGTTTTTTCATTAAATGTAAAAATGTGAATGTTAAATTTTGTAAAATTGTATCAATTCATCCTTTGGCTGCCATGAGCAATTTTTGATGTTTTTATGAATAAATATACCTTGAATAATAATATATTTACAGGTACATATAATCATAATGTAATATCATATACAAGTATACAGCCATAGACCATGCATGTAAAATGTGTGAAACTTATTTATTTATTCTCAGAATAGCACTTTTAATTAACGTCAAGCAAATGACGTCAATAATGGTATTTTTGGCTTAATGCTACAAGACAAATTGCTGTGTTTATATTCCTGCCACAGACAATTTGGATCTGCAAGGCATTAAATGTACAATACTTCAATTAAATATTCTGAATATAAATTCTTATTTTATATTCTAAATATATACAATAAAGACTAAAAGATAATGTACACATCAGACAATGAGGGCAGTAGATATATTTTTCCAACTCTGACAATTGGAATTCTAAGAGCTAATTACAGACATATTATCTGTATTATAAACTTGAACTACATAATTCTATTGAATTAATAAATTTCTGTTTCAAGTCTATCAACTCATTAATCAACACTATATTTATTTAATCAGTAGAAAAATAGGAAAGGCAATAAAATATTATTTTGAACAGTACTGTCTATTAATTTATATATATAAAAAAATAATAATATATTTACAGGTACATATAATCATAATGTAATATCATATACAATTATAGTGTAGCAAGATTGTTTTTGCAAGTGTTTGGGAATGTACTAAGCATTCGGTACTTATAAAACTTCATGTAGGGAAAAATATCATTCCGAATTAATATTAACTTTTCTATGACATGCCCTCTAGACCTACAGTTGATGCAAGCTTCAATATAGAATGCATACTCCCTACTACAGAAGCCTACACGTGTATTTAACTTTTGAAATGCATAGTGGGTACTCAAGATGCGTACAAGTAGGAACATAAAATATACACATGTTAGCAATAATACCTGCTTCTTCAGTGCTTTCAACATCTTTTAATTCCTTGGTAAGCTTATTAACTGATTTGCGTAGCTGTTTAGTTTCATCACTATCATCAAACGTGTTTCTCAATATATCCATCTAAAAGTGGAAAATATTTTACCAATAAATATATGCAAATTTTTATAAATAATATCCAATAAAAAATCTAAAGGAAGGAAGTGAACTTAAGAAACACAAGTTTCTAAATAATGATTAAGTGCACTGTGACAGTGAGGATATAGTAACAAAATGAAAGTAAAGCTCAAGCTAGCAGAAAGATGATGGCCAAGCAGTTAAGGCACAAGCGCCGCAACCTACAACCATAATCAGTGGCGTAGAAAAGTATTTTTCATTGGGGGGGATGATTGGCGTGTTAGCCAGTGTCGTAACTGGCGTGGGGGGGGGGGACAGGGGCAGACTGTTCCCCCCCCCCACTGACGGTTTTTACCGGGCTGACCAAGCCGTTGTACCGAGCTGGGTAATAAGAGAAAAGAAAGAGGGGAGAGGGAGGGAAAGAGAAAGAAGAGGAAAAGAAAAGGAAAGAAAAAGAAATTGCACATTTTAGGAAGTTTTTCATCAATTCCGGCGAAATTAGAATTAAAAACACAACAATATTTTGTGCGCTTTGCGCGCATATTTTAGGCATTTTTTAGGTTTATCCTTTTAAGTTATTTAAACACATAATAGTCCCAAACTCAAGAGAGACAAATTTAAGATAGATCGTTTTAACCTAAAAGAAGGGCCTCAATGTGTATTGATGGTGAAAGAATATGTTGTAATAAATAAAACCATGATGAAAATGCTTATACTTAGTTTTAAACACACGTGTGTGGCCTATATTATAAATAAGATAAGCCCTATGTCGTATTGTTTTCTATATGGGGAGTGGGGTGGGGTGGGTATGGTAAATTACTAACCGGGAAAATAAATACCAACTCTGACCC